TCTGATTCTAGTTCTGGCACTAACAAAACACAGTTACAGTGTGATCTGATCCAAGGACAAAAATGCAGATCAAAATTATTTTTTGTTAATTGTCATGTCTTGTAATTTTGTTTATAATGTAAAGTTCTCTTACTGAGACAACAGTTACATTTTGTTGAGGACAAACATGCAGATGTTAAAATAAAATAAACATATTTTGGTTATAAAATGAGTCATATTGATTTTGTAAAGAAAATAGGTAAAAAAATCGGAAAAAATCGGAATCGGGAACTTAAAATCGAGAATCGAATCGGCCCTTGAGTGAATCGTTACATCCCTATATATAAGGGCATGGGCGTCTAACAAAGCACTTCGGCCCAGCCCTCCTCTACTGTGCATCACTTCGAATTTGTAGTCCAAGTTCAAGGATGCCAGTGAACAGGGCTGGACTGGCCATCGGGCGTACCGGGCAATGCCCAAAGAGCCGATGGCCATATTTGGCCCGGTCTGTCTGCCTCATACAAAACACATGTTTATGAGAAGTGTAGAGAATTGTTCGCGCGGGGCATGCATTTGCATTGCATTAAAAGTTCATGTTTGAGCCCAAAAGTAATATGTTGTGAACAAATTAAACAGATTTAGAGCCAGCAAATGGCTGACAATATGCATTTCAGTCTTTTTTGACCAATTCTCATCCCTGTAACAAACAATAGTGTTGTCTGTGCCCACCTCCCTCACTCTGAGACATGTTTATTACTCTCTTGTAATGTAGACTATTGCATTTTATTTTATTGTTGAAACTGCACATATCCTGATCCTCTACAGTATTTACTTCCACATACTATAAACTAGGAGTCGGCAACCTGCGGCTCCGGAGGCGCATGCGTCTCTTTCCTTCTGTAGAAGGAAAAACTTTCTTAACGTTTTTAAATGCTGTAAAATTGTGCATAAGTAATATTCAATTTAAACATTTCTGTCAACGTAGTGTGTCATATCCTGCGACGTAGGCCCGCGCCAGGCGGCCACTGTTGTAAACAAACCGGCGTGTGAGCATCATAGACTGTGCGCATGGATCCCAAAGCTAAAAAGAGAAGTCGATAATAAATCTGGACTAAGAACATTTTCTTTCAGTCAATGAGGAAGGCCTGCTCCAATTATTTGAAAACACGATATGTCCACTTTAAAATAATGAGGGCTCTGTAATTTTCATCATAGGTACACTTCAACTGGAAGAGACAGAAAGCAAAAAAAAACATCCAGGAATTCACATTGTAGGATTTTTAAAGAATTTATTTGTAAATGATAGGAAAATAAGTATTCGGTCAACAAGGAAGATCTCTGGCTCTCACAGACCTGTAACTTCTTCTTTAAGAAGCTCTTCTGTCCTCCACTCGTTACCTGTATTAATGGCACCTGTTTGAACTCCTTATCTGTATAAAAGACACCTGTCCACAGCCTCAAACAGTCAGACTCCAAACTCCACTATGGGCAAGGCCAAAGAATTGTAAACTGCACCAGACTGGGGCTGTGTCCAAATTGGTAGGCAATTCTGAACATCAGCGGTGAGTGACCCAAACATAAACTTAACCTAAATCCATAATTCGATCCTCTGCAAATGTGTCCGAATATGTGCCGGTATCTACTTCCGGGTTTTTTGGGATCGCCTTTTCTCGCATTACATCAGTGTTTTTGTCATGAAAACGGAAACGAAAAATTCTGAAAACTTCCGTGCACTTGTATTAAGACTGGATATGTATAAATTACTCTCTGATTAACATTTAATTGCATTGATTGATTGGCATTTGCGTTTATTGAGCGGTTGGAACTACTTCCGGGTTTTTCACGATCGCTTTTTGACGCTGAGAAATAGTATTTTTGTCATGAAGACAAGACCAGAAAATTCTGAAAATGTCCGTGCACGTGTGTGAAGAATGTATATGTATAAGTATTCTCTGATTAACATTTAAGTGTGTTGATTGAGCGTGGCTAGCTCCGGAGTGGCCGGAACTACTTGCGGAGTTATCCACGCATTTGAAAGACAAGCAGAGAGTGCGTTGCCAAAGGGCAGCGGTCATTATTGTTTTGAGAGGTCCGTTATAGAAAATAATGACCGGTAGAACGTTTTGAAATTACATTCAAATCAATGGAGCGTTCTACTGCTGCTGTGAGGAGCCGTATAATAAAACGTGTTAATTACGTGTTACGTGTTAATTACGATTAATTAACGCCACAAAAATTGGCGCAAAATAGAGTTTCAGACGGACCGATTATACTGTCTGGTGTGGCGGGAGAAATTCTCTTACTTTGTCAAAAAATAACTGCATCCATGTTGGCGAGCGCTGACTTGTTTTTAACTGTACAGTATCCACATAATACTTTTTCATAACAGTAGGTGGCAACAGAGAGCTAAGTATACTTTGAAACGTTGGAATAGGATGCGACCACTGGATGTACAGTAACAGTAGCGGGAGCCTTGTGGCGAGAAACGTAAAAATTGGTCGCGACCAACAAATGGTAGGGAGTGAGGAGCATTGTGGCAAGTGAGAAGTGAAAGTGATTAAGACGTTTCTGGAAAGGAATTATGTTCTTTCTGAACAGGATTCACATCCTCCGCTCTGACCAGAACCGTAGACGTGCGGACGTAGCCATGGACTCATGCTCAGGACCATCTTTTGTGTCTCTCCCATGTCTGTGCAACCATAACTCCTGAAATTAAAGCTCAGATACCCACATTTTATACATGCATAAACAATGCATGTTATTTGTGCTCAAAAGTAAAAGGTTGTGAACAAATAAAACTGAACAGACTTAAGAGCCCAGCGAGTCATTATTTGACTTTTTGGGCTGGATGTTCATTTTAGCACTTTGAGAATGACTTTACATTGTGAATGTAAAGTCAGTATGAGTATGTGAGTTGGAGTATATACAGTATTTTTACATTTTGTCCTGGTGGTGTGCTGCCAGATTTTTTCTATGAAAAAAATTTGCTTGGCTCAAATCAGGTTGAAAAACACTGCTTTAGTAGATCTGTAGGATGTTTAGCGCCTCATCCAAAGAGCTATGTCAGTGACACTGAAATTGGTGACAATTTCAAGTTACTAAAACTATTTGTACCAGTTGTTGTCCTTGGAATAATGTAACTTATTTTGACAATTAAAAAAAGTCATGAGCTATTCTGTCATTTAATCTCATATCAAGTTTTGCTCATACCATGGAACTTTTTTATATCATTTTTAAAATCCACCCTTTGAACTGCTACTGTAACGTGCTGGTGTTATTTGAATGCCCGTAGAATCCTAGGAGCAACAATTTGGCTTTCAAGTTATTTTTATACAAATGAAGCACAAAACTATACACAAGCATATGAGGCACATGAACGCTAATTATTATCAGAATATCTTGGTTTATAAACTATATATTATATGTTTGTAGAAAATGTCAGTATTAACCTTCTGTTCTACAGGTTGCCTTACTATGGAACAGGAAGAGCACGGAGGCCATCCTAGCATCAGTGCAATCACAAAGTGGAGGCACAATAATGGTACACCACAGTGATTTCAAAACACTCCGACCACACCAGTGGTTGGATGGAGAGGTGAAAATGACCTTTAACATCCCCAACGTTTGATTCAATTAAATTGTCCTAAAAAACTTTTATGTGTAGATTATGGAGACTTTACTTCATATAGCAGCAAAAAAGAGCATGCTTGGAGAAGTATATCTTCTGGACTATTTCACTGCTGGGCTTATTATGAAGGGCAACAAAAAAGAGCTTTGTAATAAACTGCTGCCAAAGGTTTGTATAAAATGACATGCATGACAAATTACACATTTCAAATGTAATTCTATTTCATTTTTTCAAATTATACAAATGGAAATATTAAGAGAAATGTAAATGCTGATTGCGTATTACGTTATAAGTTCTTGGATTGCAAGTCCCTATTAATGGGAAAAGACAAAACACTACCCACATGGACATTTGAAACCATGGGACAAGAAGAGGAGCTTAGAGATGAGCGTGGTGTGGTCCACACCCAAAAAAATCAAACAGTTGTCATTGCAACTTAAAGCAATAGTTTACACCTATTACACCTACATCTATATACAACCTAAGCCACAGAATTATCTAAGCAAGTAGTAGCAATGGATGCAATCTAATTTTGAACCACTAGATGTCACGATAATACTCCAACTCCCTACGGTGTGTGTGACTGCTTTTATACCATGTACACACAGAGGACTCACGCCATACAAAGCAACATCACTTTGCACTGGAGAGTCCAGGCACGAAATTCAAGTGCCACACAGACGGTTTGAGGCTCAAAAGTGAAATTGTATGTAATTTGCACTGAAATGTCAAAAAATGTAAAGAGCACTATAAGAAAAATGTTGATGCAGTTTATTAGAGTTAGGTGTTTAGTTGTCATTAAATATATATTGTACACACTCACTCATTAACTTCTTCACTCTGTCACATTATGCATTACCTCTTCTACTATAATGCATTAGATGTTTTTTTCTCCAACAAAGAAACAGGTACTCTTAAACTCAACAATTAACTAAACTATATATTTTTTGTCAGCAAAGGTCCTAAAAATTACAAGTTTGCCTATGTCATTGGACTTAATCTCATCTGTAGAACTAAGTTCTTATTCCACTTGTCAGCTCCTTGCTTGTATACATTGCAAGTTGGTGTTATCCCAGTCTTAGGATTAGGAAACTGCAATGCAGAACTCTATTATCCAAATAAAGCCCATCTTGATAGTCTTGATTGTACTTGGCTCAGACAGTGATAAGATTCAAGACCACTATGTGGTGTCTGCAGTAGGTGTCTTACTTATATGTAATTTTTTTCATTTGTTTTTGAAATGCATCATGTTTGGGACAAATAGTTGTTATGGAAAATGTGTAAATGTTCTCTGTAATATGCAGGTGGACTGCAAAAAGACAGTGGAACAGTGTATGTTCTTGATCCTGCACTGTCAAATAACATCAAGGCTTCAAAGAAAGCAGCAGCCAAAATGACGTAAATAAAAAAATGCATATCTGTATTAAAGTTCATATGTGATGTCCAATTTTTGTTTTGTTTTTTTAGTGCCTATCTAACAATGAGAGACAAAACATTGAAGACCGGAGCATGGACATCCAAAGTTTTGAAAGGAGGTGCAATGATTCATCCTACACAGACAGATGGATGTAGCCGTGGGGTTATTGTAGTCATGGTAATAGTTTTTACAATTTTTTGGTACATAAAAGCTCTTAATAGAAATTCGGCAAATTCAACATGTTCAGTGTCTTATCACAGCCTAAATGTAGACACATAATTAACACACTGTTCAAATGTTGCTGAATTCTTAGATGGCTAGAGCCATTATGGCTGACTATCCAAATCTTCCTGTCATGGATTTTTCCACATCCAAGGAAAACATGGAGCAAGAGAGGAGACAAATGGCCTTGGAGATTCTTGAAGTGTCGGTATGCAATTATCTAAACATTTTTTACTTGTGATAATTAGTCTGTTTCACCACAAGTCAATATTCTTCTTCAAGAACAAACTAAAAGTTTTAAGACCAGTGAAAACGCAGGGATCAAAAGAATGACATTCAGCATGGTTGGCAAATAAGTTTTGAATGAGGGTAGGCCTACTCTCTTTGAGATTCATATTTTATATAATAACAAATTTGTTTATCCCATACATCTAATACAAACGTTTTAAACATTACCTTTTGCTCCAGAAATGGATCAACAAAACACATGTTCCATGTGTGCAGCATTCAGGCCACCAGAAAAAAGACGAAAAGCCCAAACAAACTGGGTAATGTCTAGCTTAAATAAATATGCCAAAAATATATAAACAGATATGAAATAATACTGTGTTAATTTTATCTCCACTTCACAGATCTGTTGTGATACTTGTGATCGATGGTTTCACACTTCCTGCATAACCATGAACGAGAAGGATTTTGATGTGGCCAAAAACAAAGACTGGTTCTGCTGCCTCTGCGATTGAGCAATTGTTATATTAAAGAGTGGAAAAATGTTGTGCTGTAATTTCATTTGTATGACTGTAAACAACTTTGTTCTTTGGAATAATGTTTGTAGTAATCAGAATCAGAATCATTTTTATTGCCACGTAAGTAAGTAATGGAAGTAATACCTAAAAATATTATTTGGAAAAAATGTATCTTTTTCCCCTTCATCTTTATCTTCACCTTCTTCCTCAACTCCTTCTTCATCATCCTTCATCTTCATCTCTTTTCTTCTTCCTTTTTCTTCCTTCATCATCTACATCATCTTTCTTCATCTTCTTCTTCCTCTTCATTTTTCTTCATCCTTTACCCCTTACAACATCTATGAAGCCACTCAAAATGGATTCAGCCATTGGACCATTTATAGTTTTGGAAAGGGGATTGGGGGTAAGTGGGTCAAATGCCCTAAAAGCTATTGAAGAAAAACAGGTATTTTTAACCCAAACATCATTTTAAAAACTTTTAAGAACAATTTCAAGGGCTGAGCCCAAAAGCCCTCATTTATTACTATTATTTAAAAGTGGTTTGGAGTAAATGGTTCAAATGCCCTAAAAGCTATTGAAGCAAAACAGGTGATTTTAACCAAAAAAATCATTTTACAATTTTAAAAGCTTTTAAGAACAATTTCAAGGGCTGAGCCCCATAGCCCTCAGGTAGTACTATTATTTAAAAGTGGTTTGGAGTAAATGGGTCAAATGCCCTAAAAGCTATAGAAGAAAAACTGGTATTTTTAACCAAAAAAATCATTTAAACTTTTTTAAAGCTTTTAAGAACAATTTCAAGGGCCTATGTTCTAAATCACTAAAAGTGATTTAGAACTTTTAAATTACAATTAAATCTATTTTGCTCGGGGTTATAATCATCCTTTTTCATTTTTTTAAAGTATATATGAATGTATTGTGTTATTTAGGCATTAAACTCTTTTTTTATATCCACTTTCATAAAAGTGAAGAGTAGGGTAAAATGTTGACGGTCCCTAAATAAAGGCGAAGACTTGCGCGAGTACATGTCCGCTCCTTGCTGCTCTCAGGCCGGCTAACAACCTCATCGCTTCCCCTCTCTGAATATTTGCCGAATATCCAATATCCAACCAACTTCACCACAGTGAAATTTCAGTTGCATCACATGTTACAGACGGTAGGAATGAGGATCACTTAGCACGAGATACAGTGTTCTCTTAAATGATACAGAAAGTTTGTCAGCTAAATATTCCTGTGAAAGGAATATTGTTTAATAAATTGTTGGGAATTGTAGATGGTCTTGTTTACTAACAGGCTTTTTGACTTGACTTAACTGCTCTGTATGTGGGGCTGCACGATATATAACATTTTTATTGTGATATTGGTATGTGTGATACAGTGGGGGCGGGTCCCGGCTCAAAAGTGGCCTAAATGACGTGCGCTGACATGCTGCAATACCACCCCGGGCCGATGGGGGTGGACCCGGAATAAGAATTAGCCAATGCTAACATATAGCATTGGCAGACCTCTCGAAAACGTCTTTACAGGATGGTCCAAAAGTTGGCTCTTGGCCGAAAGCTTCGTTCCACATGTGTGTCAATGCTCGCTGTGAATTTTTGAAGTCACTCGTTCAAATGAATGGGGCTCGTGTCGGCTGACGCATGCGCAGATGCGTTTTTTCACATTTTCCAGCCCCCGCGGCCATTTTGAATCACTCCATGAGAGCCCAATTTTTGGCCCATTAGTTAGAACGGTGGAGATTGGCGTGACTGCGTCCCTTTATATATACAGTCTATGGTGTGATATCGATATCGAAAAAATGCATGATAATTTTGACATATTAGTTTAGTTTTTTTAGTTTAGTCTTTATTTGAAGGGACAGTGTACAGAGACATTAAGCTCAAAGACAGATATGTTCTGCACCAGATTATAGCTAAACAGCTAGTTTCCATCTGCAGTCCCTGGTTACATCAATAAAATACATGGATACAGTAATGTGAGGGGCGACAGTAGCTCAGTTGCTAGAGCATTGGCCTTTGAGCCTGAAGGTGGTGGGTTCGAGCCCACCTCAAGACCTACTTCACAACTCCCACTGATGACTGCTGTCGTTGTGTCCTTGGGCAAGACACTTAACCCCACTTTGCCTGAAGCCCCCACTGAAAGATCTCAGCTCCTGTGGACTCACCACCTGCAGGAGGATCAGTGAGGGGCTGGTGCTCTGTGGACTGGGTGCAGCTCTGACTGCCACCCCCCCGACCCAGAAATGGATTAAGGGGAAGAAAATGGATGGATGGATGGATGGATACAGTAATGTACAATCCTAAAAAAATAACATTGCAATACAACACATTCTCTCTAATACAGACACACACATTTAGCCTCATACCTGTTTGTTAAAACCACACTTCATTCACAGCATCACACCTACACAATACACATGTCACAACCACACATTCAGATGATACATTAACACAGCCATTCCCAAACTCAGTAACACCGAGGCCCCCTTAAAAATCTGACGGGTCTGCGTGGCCCCCCAAAATAATAACCAAGAAGACAACATTATGAATAGGCTCTTCCGGTTATTTTATTTTGGGGAAATAGCCTCTGCTACAAACATTGTAATACAAAAATGATCACAGTGGATTATTCAAGTCAAATAATGAACACAAATATTTTAATATTGCAAACAAAACATTATAAATTTAACATTAAATAATTATATTATTGTTTTATTTTTTTTATGACCTCCCACGGCCCCCCTGCAGTACCCTGGTTTTGTTTGGTCCAGCGAGCGCTGTGACGATAACTGGACTTTGCCGCTGGCTCCTGGTGCAGGAGCCACCCCCCCAATAGTTTTAGCGATAAACCACTTTTCTGTGGTTTTTTGGGGTGCACCGCTGGTCTGCTGCTCTGACCCTCCACATGGTCTGTGTCAGCCCTGGAGACACATTTACTGCTCAAACTGGCTCCAAATGAAGCCTGTCCCTGACTATATTACTACACGCCTGCTTCACCTCTGTCGCTCCTGCTCAGAGTGCAGTGAACGTCTTATTACGTCACTGAGTTAAAAGAGGCCGTATTAGGGTTTTGATGTGCTTATAACTCCATGTTTCTTGTTGATATTGGATTTTTTACTCCAGCTGCTTTTGTTTGTTTGTTTGTGGTACTATGTTTTAATCTGTAGCACTTTGAGATTTTCTGGAAATGCAAGGTGTATATGTATATATATATATATATATATATATATACAGTATATACATCAGTGGGAGTCTATATTAAAACTAAATAGACTTGTGCATTAACAGTATTGTCAATCTTTAAAATGAAAAATGTTTCCGGTTGTTCTTTTGGCAGTATTTAGCTAGTGACAGAACCTCATGTTTGCAAATAATCATTCATCTTATTGGACAATGTTGTTCATTTTGAAGTTCAAATGTGCTAATGTCTATTTTAATGCCTTGTGTGACTGTCTCTATCTTGTTTTGTTCAGAAATTTGAGTTTCCTAGTGTATGAATTGTGCTATGCAAATAAACATACTTTGTCTTTGTCTAAAACATTAAAACAGAACATTTAGGCGATATTTTTTTCATAATAACTATAACAATGAAACTGTGATTTAACCATTAAAAAAAACAGTGACTGGAGAAATGTTACAGCCAAATGTATAATGATGGGAGGCAAGTTTCTTTGTGTGAAGTAATACCAGAAATACAAACATGATAATTGCATAAACGTGAGAAGAAGAGAAGAGCTCAGTTTAACCTAGAGGAGCTAAACACTGCCCTAAACAAAGCCACAGTTTGCAGATTTCACAGACTAGGGAAGGGCGAATATGTATAAGCTCAATAAAAATCATCTCATCATTAACCTTTTATTGCCTTTTATGTTATTTCCTTGCCAACCTATCCACTCATGCACACTCATGAACGCCCACGCAAATGCACATGCAAATCAGGGAACCAGGAGAAATCTAACCAACAAGACCTGTGACCTCTGTTTCCTCTTTCTCTGAAAATAAACACCTGTCAGTAAAGCATTAGCTGCATTTTTGCTCGGAGAAAAGTTTTTTTCAAACAAAGATTACATGCTGCAGTAAACAATAATAAATAATAATCTGCTAAAAATTCAATAATTTGAATATTTGTTGCATTGTCATTCATCACTCGCTTCTCACTCACTCACACCCCCCAATGTTAGTGTTGTCCAGAGTTTGTTGTGTAGTTTTTAACATTACAGGCAACACATCAGTCATAAAACATACAGTAGACAGTGTGTTCTTACTACAGAATGGATAAATTTTCGGGTTGATAAACCAGTTCTAAAAAGTGGTTTTCACAATCAAGCTCCTCCACTGGCTCCATTCGCTGACAACAGAAATGTGTCGTTGAAATTGAATACACCATTCATTAATCATTCATAAAAGTCTTATCAAAAACAAATAGAGCCACTGGTCCATATGGGGCACAGGACCAATGTCCATAAATCCATAAATGTCCTTGAACGTCCTTAATCATCACCATTGTTTTTAGACCCTCCTGTATTGGCAAGGAACAACTCTCAACTCAACAAAAATCCAGTAAGAAAAAATTAGAAACCTCTGGGAGGCCCTCATTGAGAGAGGGTTCTGCTCCCGCGAATGTACGGCTGTAGATCCAGGACTCAGAATGTAGACTCATGTTTGTACTGTAGCTCCAAGTCTCCCATGAAAATAAAACTAAGATATTCAAAAGTTAAAATAAATAATATTAAATTCTCTTTACTATTATATACTGATACAAAACTTTCTGAGCTCCTATTTCCCTAACTATCCCTATGAGCTGAGCCAAATTAACTGTCCCACCAGGCCTGAAAAATGATAGAGGACTCCCAGATACTCTGCTAAGTCTTCTCTCTGTCCCTGGCTCAGACAAACTAACAATGTTTATCAAAATGTGTAGAAGAAGAGGACGTGCCACCAAAGATATTTTTCCTCCATATATGGTAAAACCGGAGAGTCTGGTCTGATCTCTTCTTTTGT